CAGTGGCTGTGCCAGGGCGTGCCAGGCAGACAAAATCACCTTTATAAATGGATTGGTGGAAGCCAAGCATCTACCTATCAGTATATCTCGCCACATAAATGCCAACAAAGGCCTGTCCACCTTGGATTATTATTATCATTTTATTATTTATATAGCGCCATCAGATTCCGTAGCGCTGTACTTTATGGATTCCCTTCACCTCCCTCCAATGTTAATCTGTCCCCTCTGCCCCACTCAACCACCCTTAGGAGATGACAAAGTCAGCAGGAGAAAATGTTGCCTCGGTTTCTCTTTCTTCCAGATGTAGTTATTGAGCAGTGATTGGAGGAGTAGAAAAATATATTAGGGATTGTGGTGGGTAATGTTTGAAAGAGATAAAGGAGGTGTGGAAGAAGATTAATATTAATCACACCCACCCTGCCATGCCAGGAGAGGTGGGGCAGGGAACAGTTCACCAAATCCCTACAGAACATAGCATGCATAAGAAGAAAGTCCAGGTAATATAGAGCCTCAGGGTTAGCCGACATCCATACCTCTAAGTACTTTATGGCCATCTCAGACCATTGGAAGGGGAAACTTCAATGGACCAGTTCTATCCTCGCCCCGAGAGGTAAACATTCAACCCAATTGGTTTAGAATATTTGATCTTTAAAGGGCACCATATATTTCGAATTCTGACATAATATTAAACAATGATACCTCCGGGGTTGTGACATAAAATAATAAGTAATCGGCGTAGGCAACGACTTCATGATGCGTATTTCCCACCTCAAGCTTTGATGTAATGATTACTCCTAATTGCATTTAGGAATGGTTTGGGGCAAGAACTAAGCTCACCAGGAATATTGTACATCCCTGCTGAGTGCATTGTGAATGGGGAAGATATCGGTAAAAGTACAAGGCCCGAATCCAAGCAAATTTCTTAGAGCATAGACCCATATGCAACAATGTGGCAATGAGAAAGTCCCAATTGACTCGATCAAAAGCCTTCTCTGTCTATGAAGACAATAGGAGAAGACTCTGCTAGATGAACGCGCATGACATATAAGAGAAAGAGTTTGTATAACGTTGGGCTTTTCTGAGTGGGATGAAACCCACCCGAGTTTTTTGGACCAATATGGGGACAAATTTGTATTAGTTTCATTGCTATGATTTTCGCAAAAACTTTAAGGTCGCAATGAAGAAGTGAAATGGGTCTATAGTTGGCGCACTACACTGGTAGTATAGCAGAGAGGGTCTGGCTAGAGATTATAACTCTCTTAACGGTTGGAGTTACATAGTTATTTAGCTAAAAAGAGACATGAGTCTATCAAGTTCAAATCTATCTGCAGCTAATCCTGCTTACATTGTATTAGTTAACAGAGTTTTATGTCATCTGCAAACACTGAGACATTACTTTAGATGCCTATTTCAAAAACATTTATAAATATGTTAAATAGAAGCAGTCCCAGAACAGAACTCAGAGAGACAACACTTTACAAAAATTACGACAACTCTTCTAGCCAAGAACAAGAATTTTCATCTAGATCATCAATTACTTTTAGTTTGAACACTAACCTATTGTTGGAACCGTAACAAACACCTGGGCAAAATCCAAGTAGATCACATCCACTGCAACATCCTGATTTATACTTCTACTTCTTCATAGAATGCAAATCTAAAATTTAATATGACATGACCTATGTTTCATAAAACCATGCAGATTTTTGCTAATAACAATGTTCTTCTCAATGAATTCCTAAGTACTATCCCTTTGTAACCCTTCAAATACTTTCTCAATCACAGAAGTTAAGCTCACACGTCTATATTTTCCAGGCAAAGATTTTGAACCCATTTTGAAAATAGGAACCCCATCTGCCTTCCTACTATCCTTTGGTAAAATCCCTAAAACAAAACATTTCCAGACAATGGTTTGTACTGGCCCCGAATATATTTGTATAATGTTATCTTATCCCCTCTGAGGCTTCGTTTTTCTGAACTAAAGAGATATACATTTTTAACCTTTCTTTATAACTAAAATGCTCCATTGCTTTTATCAATTTTGTAGCCTGTCTCTGCACTTTTTCTAGTGCTATAATATCCTTCTTTAAAACGGGTGCCTAAAATTGCACAGCCTATTCAAGGTTTATAAAGAGGCAAAATTATTTTTTCATCCTGAGAATTTATGCCCCTATTTATACATGACAATACCTTACTGGCTTTAGCAGCTGCCAACTGACATTGCATATTGCTGCCCAATTTGTTGTCTATAACATTTCCCAAATCCTTCACGTGTGTTCTTATCCCTAGTTTGCTAACATTTATTGTGTAAGTTTCTTTTGCATTCTTTACCCCAAAGTGCAAAACTTTGCATATTTGTTTATGTGTGAATAATGCAAACAACAAATCTGAACGCTAATTTTGTCCAGTGTTTGTGACTAAGTGGCTACCAAAAAAGACTGAACATACCCCATTTGCAATACCTTGGGTTGCCTACTTTTGCAAATGGTATGCCATCATGGGAGTTCTTATTCCTGGGCTATCATATGGTCTCAAAGGTAGTATAACCAATCTGGCAAATTTCAATGTGAAAAAACTGAAATGCAAGCCTTGTATTTGACTTTAACTTTTGAAAACACCATAAAATCTGTACAAGTAGTATATGCTAGGATGTAGTGTGTTTGTGTGTGTGCTGGGGATGTAGTATATATGCTGGTGTTCTAGTGTGTCTGTGTGTGTGCTGGGGATTTGGTTTATGCTGGAGATATAGTGTGTATGCTAGAGATGTAATGTGTTGCTGGGGTGTGGTGTATGTACTAGAGATATGGTGTGTGTTCTGGGGATGTGGTGTGTGTGCTGGGCATGTAGTGTGTCTGTGTATGTGCTGGGGATGTAGTGTGTGTGCTGGGGATCTAGTGTGTCTGTGTTGTGCTGGGTATGTGGTATATGCTGGAGATATAGTGTGTGCTGGAGATGTAGTGTGTGTGCGCTAGGGATGTAGTGTGTGTGCTGGAGATGAAATGTGTCTGTGTGTGTTCTGGGGATGTGGTGTGTATGCTGGGGATGTATTGTGTGTGCTGGGAATGTAGCGTGTGTGCTGAGATTGGAATTCCTATGTCCAGCACACTATGTGCATTGAAGCTTATAATTACTTAACCTTTCTGTATCCGCGGTGCTGTGTATCCTTGCTGAAGTGGGGTCTGAATTGACTCCTTGCAGCTCTGCTCCTCTTGGCTGCAAAGTTGCTAGCTCAGTCCGACTCCTGCACAACCTGCAAACTGTGCTGTCTATGTGACCATTACAGAACACATTAGCCAGACACAAAGAGCAATTCTTCCGCTCCCGGGGGCCAGGCCACAGCAACAGCACTGCTGCAAATTGCTGTAAGTAAAGTTCCCACTGAAGTTCCAGCGTGCACAGCTAGTAATCTCAGAGTGCCAGAACTTCAGTGAGAAACATATCAACATACACACACATACAGATGACAGCACTGACACACACACTGATACACAGACATACAGATGAACACACTGACACACACACAGATACACAGACATACAGATACACAAAGACTTCTCATTAAGTTGCAAGTCTGTGATTGGAGAGCCACAGAAAGTCTGGGTGAGGTTAGAAAGGGAGGGTTTGCAAAGGCAGCAGGCAAGAGAACTACCGGTTTTGCAAGCTATTTATAGATATAACTCCAATGAAAAAAAAAATGCAGAATTAAATGCATGCATGTTTTCATTGGTTGAATATCTACTAAACTGTTTTTTTTCATTTGGGCAGTGGAGTTCCCCAGAAACTACTAGCTTTACAAGGGAACTGTCACCATGATATCTACTTTTTTCTATTAGAGTCTTATTAGAGTGTTAGCAAATTATATCATAATCCAAGTAAGAGAAACAAAGCCAGGCCAAACACTGCAAGTGTGAAGAAGAAATGGAAACATTGTCTATTTTCTTATCTTCTCTGTATGCTTTCTCTATGCTGACTTCCAGGGGCAAATAGTAGATATGTGCCATTCGTTTCGGTCCGAATGTGAATTCGACGGAATTTAGAGCAATTCGGACATTCGGGTACGAATGTCCGAATAGCTGAATTGCCGAAGTCCCGAAGTTCTGAAATTACCGAATTTCCGAAGTGTTGAAGTGCTGAAGTGCTGAAGTTCCGAAGTGCTGAAGTTCCAAAGCTGCCGAAGTTCTGACGTATCGAAGTGCCGAAGTTCCGAAGCACAGTATTGCCTAAGTACTAATATATTTACCCAGTGGAAGAACAAGAATGTTACACTGTATACAATTTTAAATAAAAAGTATACAAACATAGCCGGGATTCAGCTGTAAGCATTTGCAACACTTATAACAATCAAGTAACACACATTCATATAAAATGTAAGTTACTTAGCCTGTCAATGGAATGACAGGAATAAATAAGTAAATAACTCCCTCATTCCCTCGGTATTAGGGAGCCATCTACTAAGAAGCTGAAAGACCTAAATTGATCTTTAAGCCAAATTTACTAATACTAAGCAAAGATTACTTAGTATTAGTAAATTATACCCCTAATCGCTATACCGCGAGTAGGGGCATGTCTAGTAAACAGTAAACAGCCTGTGGCTGCTCAATGTAAAAAATAAAATTAAAAAAAAAGCACATCTCCCCCTCCCGAGCCCCAACCCGTGCCGTGCGAGTGGGGGCTTCTAATCTGAAGGGTTGAGCGGTGGGTGGGGGCCCTAAATTAGAATTAGGGGGGACCTATTGTCCTCCCCCCAGCCCCCACCCCTGAGCGGCAGATGGGGGCCCTAAATCAAAATAAGGGGGGGACCTATTGTTCTCCCCCCGGCCCACACCCATGAGCAGTGGGTGGGGGCCCTAAATTAGAATTAGGGGGGACCTAATGTCCTCCCTCCTTGCCCCCACTCCTGAGTGGTGGGTGGGGGCCCTAGAAACCAATTAAGAAGGGGGGACCTAATGTCTTCCCCCCTGACCCCCACCCCAGAGCGGTGGGTGAGGGCCCTAAAAACCAATTGGGGGACCTAATGTCCTCCCCCTTGGCTCCCCCCCTTATTCTAATTTAGGGCCCAACCCACCGCTCAGGGGTGGGGGCCAAGGGGAAGGACATTAGGTCCCCCCTTATTTGGCCCCCCCTAAATGCCAATAAGGGGGGACCTAATGAGCTGTGGGTCGGGCCCTAAATTAGAATAATGTCCTCCCACCTGGTGGGTCAGGCCCTAATGTCCTCCCACCTGGCCCCCACCCCTGAGCGGTGGGTGGGGGTCCTAAATACCAATAAGAGGAGGGCTATTGTCCTCCCTCCTGGCCCCCATGCTTTATAAGCATTCCCCCGCCCTGCAAAGCCCTCCATGGGTGAAGAAGGATTTTTTTTTTGCGCTCATGTTTATTTTTTTTTAAGTGCGTCGCTTATTATGGATTTTTATTTGTCCTTTTTTGGGGCTGAAAAAATAAGATTTTAGAAGAAAGAAAACATCACATTGTAAGTTTTTTTTCTTTTTTTTACAGGTACTTAATTTATGGTCCCCTCCTCATTATTTTTAGGGTGAGGGGGGTAGGTAGGGGTTAATTTTTTTAGGGAGGGGGGTGACTAGGGGTTTGGGGACCCCTAGTCACCTGGGGGGGGTTAAATTGTTATTTAGGGCCCCCACTCGCCACCCAGCAGTGGGGGCAAGGGGGGAGGACAATAGGTCCCCCCCCTTATTGGCATTTAGGTCCCCTACCCACCGCTCAGGGGTGGGGGTTAGGGGGAGGACATTAGGTCCCCTCCCTTATTGGTATTTGGTATCTATTGGAGGACAATAGGTCCCCCCCTTATTCTAATTTAGGGCCCCCACCTGCCGCTGAGGGGTGGGGGCCAGAGGGGAGGACAATAGGTCCCCCCTTTTTTTACTTTAGGGCACCCACCCGCTGCTCAAGGGTGGGGGCCGAGGGGGGGGCAATAGTTTAAAAGCCCCCACTCACGCGGCACTAGTGGGGGCTCGAGAGGGGGGACCCTTTTTTTTTTTTACAGTGAGCAGCCACTGGCCAAAGTGCCGAAGTTCCGAAACTGTCGAAGTGCCGAAGTGCCGAAGTGCCGAATTTCGGAATGCCGAACCGAACTGAAAATTTTCCCCATGCACATGCCTAGCAAATAGACAGTGCTTATAACAATGATTGACAAGGAGCTAAGATGGAAGCTACCAGTTGCAGGATAAAGAGGTGTCGATTTCTAGATTTCATTTAGATTTTCACGCCTCACAAATACATATCTGTTTATTTAAGGAAAGTAAACATAATATTAAAAATCGAGGGAAATTGAAGTTCCTGTTCAAGTAGTTACATAGTTATACAGACTGCCAAAAAAGGCTTGTGTCCTTCAAGTTCAGCCTTTCTCACATCTGTTATGCTGTTGATCCAAACAATACAATTTTGCACTTACAATTTTGCAACTAGGAAGAAATTCCTTCTCGACCCCAGAATGGCAATCAGATATCTACTTGGATCAAGAAGTTGTTATTCCACGCACTACATATTATATCCATGAATATTATATGTTTGTAAGAATCCATCCTGTTGCTGTTTAACATCTATACAGACTCTGATAAAACCACCTCTTCAGGCAGTAGTGTCAATCTCTGCCGTTACTGGTAAAATTATGCAGTTGTTAAAGAAAAATAGGTATATCAGTAAAAGTAGTAAACACACAGGAACCAAGTCCTTCATAAGCTTCATTATAGAACAGTCTATATAATGAGAGAGGCTAAACTAGTGTCACAACTGGAATTAGATGGACTACAGAAAACAACAGCCATGTGTGGAAAGTGAAGGAAGTAGTAGTCCCAGTTGTGTTTGGAGCAGTCTGGCTTTGACCCCCAAGTTGGAGGAATGGCATCAACAGATTCCAGGTGGGAGTGCAGTTCCAGGGACAGCTAAGATACTGTGCAGAGCCCTCAGACTTCCAGGCCCGAGGACCCGAGAATTGTGAATATGTACAGTGAGGGAAAAAAGTATTTGATCTCCTGCTAATTTTGAAAGTTTTTCCACTGATCAAAGAAATGATCAGTCTATAATTTTAATGGTAGGTGTATTTAAACAGTGAGAGACAAAATAACAAAAAGAAGGTGAGAAGGTGAACACAGTTGGTGCAATTGTTCGCAAATGGAAGAAACATGAAATAACTGTCAGTCTCCCTCGGTCTGGTGCTCCATAGAAGATCTCACCTTGTGGAGTTTCAATGATCATGAGAACTGTGAGGAATCAGCCCAGAACTACATGGGATGATCTTGTTAATGTTCTCAAGGCAGCTGGGACCATAGTCACCAAGAAAACAATTGGTAACACACTACACCGTGAAGGACTGAAATCCTGCAGCGCCCGCAAGGTCCCACTGCTCAAGAAAGCACATGTACAGACTTGTCTGAAGTTTGCCAATGGACATCTGAATGATTCAGAGGAGAACTGAGTGAAAGTGTTGTGGTCAGATGAGACCAAAATTGAGCTCTTTGGCATCAACTCAACTCGCCGTGTTTGGAGTAGGAGGAATGCTGCCTATCACCCCAAGAACACAATCCCCACCATCAAACATGGATGTGGAAACATTATGTTTTGGGAGTGTTTCTGTTACTGTTAAAATACACCTACCAAATTATAGACTGATCATTACTTTGTCAGTGGGCAAACGTTCAAAATCAGCAAGGGATCAAATATTTTTTCCCTCACTGTATCACCCAGAAGGGGTAAAAAAATTTAAAAAAATAAAAATAAAAATAATAAAAAATAAATAAAAAATAATAATAAAAAATATATATATTTTACGGATGTCTGTACTCCAAAATCTCAGCTTTGTGGATTCCTCGATTTCTAATGAAATGCCTTAATGAATTAAACAAAGCCAACTTTTTAATATAAATATATATATTTTAAAGTACAGTCATTATTATACTTGTATAACTGTATTTATATTGTGGGGAAAGCTATTGCAGCTTCTGCTTTTGACTTGTGCCTGGCCAGCTCATTCCCCACTGGACCCTAGAAAAGCCACATTCACTGCTAGAGATACATAGAGCTGCAGAATAAGCCTCCCCCTAAATACAAATAATACAAACAGTCCACACACAAGCACACAGACAGTTCCCCCAAACACAACAACACTGACTATCCACATACACAACCCCACAAGCAGCTTCTCGCATGCAATACCACAGGCTTGCCTGTGGTACAATCAGCCAGGATGGGTGGGTTTAATTTTTTCTCCACACATTATCCATTGTTTCTTTAAATGGTTATACTTATATTATGACTTGTCTGTGCTTCATATAACTTCCACAAACATTACAAGCTAACCAGTCAATGTGTAATCATGAAGTGACTTATATGAATCATGTGTTGCAACCATACATAATAACATGACAATTACATATTACAGCACAAAAGTAATTTTGTACAAAAATATTTAATTTAGTTTATTTTATCAAATAAGCAACATATATATTTGGCAATGCATACAAAACATACCAGTGCCGAATTAATCTCATTGTTAAAAAAAAATGTTCTTGTACCTCATAATTTTAGCTCTATAAACATTTCTGCAGACAAAATAGTTGTTCTTTTTTCTATAAATATTTCACAAACTAATTTTGTCAATACTCATAATAATATTTGAAATGTTACAAAAGTAGAAATCATGGAAACATAAAGGTACAGTTATCAAGTAATAAACACGAAGTAAAAAAAAAACCCACACTATTGCAATGACTAGATCTTCACAGTGTAAACTGATATCTTTTCATCTATAATTTAACTGAACAAAGCTATATTATACAATTCAGAAATCTGAATATTATTGAACTAACCTAATGAAAGGTACTCTTTGGCATCAATAAAAAAAAACATAATACAAAATGCAATTAAAAGTTTATGTCAAGTTTATGTAAATATATTGGGATTGTTTCCAACCTTTTTGGTAAATAGTTGGCCACTAACAACCGACCTTGTCACAATTTTTTACCAACTGACTGGTTGCCAAGATTCCGACCAGTCACTGATAAGCCACTCGCTGGTAAAGCACAGAAACACATGATGTGCAAGTTGTCACCATTACTATGCCGCTAAAAAAGTCTCAGCATGAGCATATGCGCTTCACTCTGTGAGTGACCTTAGCAGGAGATACCAATAGTGTATACAATGTAGTAAACTGTGATGTTGTGCTACTACTTCAGATACAAATACATCTATTTGAGGTAAATTTCTAGCATGTCAGTCTCCCATTTAAATGACATATACTCTTTACTCATATAAAGAATAATTTTATTTTTTTATAAAATTTGTTTGGACTTTTTGTTAGCCCTTATTGAGTAGCTGCTGGCTGGTTGAAAGTAGTGATAACATTGGAAACAAGCCCATTATTTTTCACCTTGGCACTGAACGGGTAAAACATAAACCAATCAGACCACATTAAAACATGCAGCCTGTGTAAACATTAAAATGCTTTAAAACATTCATAGCTAGCAGGAATGGTAATTGATCTGTGCAATGATAGTGCTGAGTCCATACACATGTGCAGCACGTTATAATAAATAATGCACACACGGAATACTATTTTGTAGGTATGTGTCCCATTTGTGTTCCCTGATTGTTTGTAGGTCCTTTTCCTCTTTCCTCATTGTCTGATGTGGTCCCCAGTCATTTTTATGACCACCTCTTGCCTCTCTTTCTTTCGATCCAGTCAATGACTCCCTTTCCTTTGTCAACTTTACAGTCCCCTTTTGTTTGTGATTCTGCTTCCTCTGTCTCTAGCAATCTCACTCCATTTGACTCCTCTGCATCTCCCCATATTAGGCAGCTCTCCAGATTATGAGTGACCACCTTTTGTCCAGCCTAACGAACCCTGCCCAGTTTGATATCCCTGTCATTTATTCTGTCTTGTTCATTTTTGTCCCATATTAAACTGTTCTTTCTTTTTTCCTATTCCAGTCTCTCCATTGTCCGTCTTCTAGTCTCATTTACAAATTGTGTCCTTTTTGTGGTCCCCTATCCCATTTATGATCCCTTGCTCCACTTGAAAGTCCCTGTTTAGTTCCCTACATCCTATTGTGTGGCTGCTGAATACTCTGTATTGATCATATATTGAATTGATGATGAGGCAGACT